TGAACTGGCTGCAACCCCTACTCTACATCACCCCGAGCCCCTGAGGGGAGGAGGTGGAGAAATTGGGAGTGAAGCTGAGCCCAGGAGGGGTGGGATGAAGGTGTTAGAAGTTTTAGTTTTTACTTCCCATTTTCCTATTATGAATTTGATTGGTAATAATATTAAACTAATTTCCCCAATTTCCCTAATTTCGAGTCTGTTTTGCTTATGGTAACTGGTGAGTGATCTCTCCCTGTTCTTATCCTGACCCACAAACCTTCTGCTGTATTTTCTCACTGTTGTCCAGCTGAGGAAGGGGAGTGATAGAGCAGCTTTGGTGGGCATCTTGTGTCCAGCCAGGGTCAACCCACCACATCAGTCCTGATATTCCACCTTACAAAACACACGCCGAGTAGTCTTTACTCATGAATTATAGTGACTGTTATTACAATCAGTGCTGAGTACTTAGCAAACCTATTTAAGAAAGTCTCCACATTACTTAAAAGGCATAACATCTCTGTTTTAATCAATCAAGAAACTAATAATCTCTGCTTTTCTGAGTATTAAAACCTACTCACATTATATTACACATATATGCACTTGCATAAAAGAAATTTTCATGTGAATAAGGCAGAATCTCTCTTACTTTGCACTGAACTGTGAGTCATGAACACTTCCAACAGTCCACATTCACCTGTTTTATCTGTTTTTTCACAAAAGAACTCATTTCAACTCGGAACTTAAGCAGATGCTTAATACCCTGCCAGGTTGTTCCAATACTGCCAGAAAAACAACAATTTTTTCTGTGTCATGTTTGAGTTTGATAATATTCATATTCTAAAAAATTATAACAAACTTTTAAATGTTTCACAATAAATGTAACTATATTTTTAGGTATTACTCAACGGGAATATTCTATAAGCTCCAGAGGTGTCAATCAAACACTGGTATTAAGTTCTACCTTTTAATGATTTCAATCTACTGAACACAGAGTACTAAAGGTTGACAGCATGCCCTCTTTCCAGTTGAGCATGAATAGGTGAACACAGAAGCTTCTAAGGCTGTCTTTTAATTCTCTAACATCAGCTCTGTACTTTATGCCTTAAATTATGACAGCAAAACTGCTTTAAACAATAAGATTAGGATTCTCCAGCATCAGCCACAAATGTCAGCTTGTCCCTGGGATGAAGGAAGCATGTGCAGTCAGCTGGGAGCAGGGATGAAACAATCTAAGAACCGGAAAAAGTGTAGGGGCAGAGATGTGTAAGTGCCTGCTGATTTTAGCCAATGTAACAGTCCCCATAGGACCAGTCCAGCTGGCTTCAAAAATGGAACAGCTGGAACTCCCTGCCTTGTACAGAGATCCAGTTCAGCTTTCTGCTGCTTCTCAAGTCAAGTGAGATATGTATCTGACACACTGTTACATCTACTTTCTCTATGTATAAGCATGGAAATGTCCACTCCAAAAAATGACTTAAAAAAAAGCATCGGACCTTCCAACCACTTCCCAAATCACCCCACAGAGTGTGACAAAATCAAAGAAAAGGAGAGGAAACCGATGTGTGATGTAAGATACAAGACATAGTCACGGAGAGTACCATTGGGATGTAAATGGACACATTAAAAGCTCTATCCTGTTCTATTACTCTAATGATTTTTTTCAATTCTTTTAACAAACCTAATCTTTACTACAGTTCAAACGGAAGGGTCACCACATGCTATACCAAGCAATGCTGAGGGTTTTCTAAAGAATCATCATCATAAAAATATACACATGAAGCATTTAAACAACTAGAGCATCTTGAAAGATATTCACTGAGAAATGCAAGTACCTGTTGTCTCCAAAGGCAGGATCCTTGGGTTTAGCATCACTATCATAAACAAAACGCTCTTGGGAGATCACTATGACATTGTCTGTAGTTTCATTTCCCAAGACAGTGATAACAGGATAACCCATCTGTAGTGTCCATTGATCCATGACTTCTTGGATATTTACAGATTTTCCAACCCTTCTTAAAGCCTTCAAGGAACAAGAAAAGTTTAAATACGTTGAAGCAATACCATCAGCCAATTTAAAAAAATCTTTTTTTTTTTTTCCCCCCAGAGACCATAATTAATTTTAGAGGTTTAGATAACCATCACACATTCACACCTTGCACACACATACTACATAATTTAACCAACAATCTCTGTATATCTTAGCAATAAACTTTGAGAGATCTCGCCAGAGAGGAGTGTGACAGAGATTCATGTTTCCCACATCATTCAGGCGCTTTAGCTGTAACAGAAGAAACCACTTGCTTTACAGGGTTTTAACAAAAGCCACAGAACTACTGAGTGGCTGTTTCCAAAAGATATTCTTGACCAGCTAAGATTAAAAAAGACTCAGTGTTCATTCATCTAGGGTACCTACAACAAGGAATATTCAAAGGGTCTGATTTCTAAAAGTACAGAGCTTCTCTGTTCTTAAAATCAAACCACTAGTGATTTGAAAATACTGTCCCTCATGTCCAAAGTGAGGCCATGTATATGAAGATATCTTGAGCTCCTTCACAAAATGCACCTGAAGGACTAAAGTGTTCATTATCAATATTTGACACCGTATGTCAACAGAAATGCTGTTTTAAAAGGGGATTTTCATCTGAAACAAAAAGAGATGCTATGGCATCATGGGAGATGAGACTGGGTATAAGGAGAATAACAAGCATCCTCTGTTCTTCAGCAATGGAAATGCCCCCAGCTGCCAAGCAATCCTAGATCATAGACTGAGCAACCTCTGTAGAATACAAGCAGAACCCAGCAAGAAGTCTTCAGAACTGGAGCTGCAATTGCAATGCATTAAGGAACAAAGCAGCTGGCAACAAACATACTTACAGGTGAGCAAAACAGAATTATTAGCCTTAACAATAGATTTGAGCATACAGTGTAGCTGTAGTAGCTACAGACCAGAATACAGTCTCAGTTTTGTTCTGTTAGTTGTGGGTTCTTTCGTTCTTTCAAGATTACATTCATCCTTTTGACCTCTCATCACCTAGAATTGTCCTAAAGGCTTTAACAGAGGAAGACACCAGGTGACAAGCAAGAAAGACTTTTGCAGTGGTATTCACCTTCAGATTAAGATATACATTTAAGAGCCTATGTTATACATTTCAACTCTCATTAACAGTCCGTACAGACATAGGACTCAGATCAGCTGCCCACACATAGGTGGCTAATGTCATTTGACCTTGACCTGCCACTCTAGAAGAGTACAGATTTCCCCACAGACCTTGAGTGAAATCGATTAGACCCACCTGAACGTCTTGAGCACCCCATTGCACCTAATCAGGCACTCCATGCCTATATCCGAACAACTATCTCAAGTCCCTAGAGAACAGCCACTGGTTAGGGCTCATTTTAAAATAACCATGTAGTGGCTAATCAACTGAATTGCTCTCTATGCTCTGCTGACCATATTGACTAGATTTCTGGGATTCCACTTGTTTCTATTTACCACGTGTAAAATTAGATGTCCTAAAATATTCAACAGATCCTTGCAGATCTGTTGGACCTACGGCAGACAATACTTATTTCATGTGGCAGCTGGAAGACAGGTGGGATAAAAGAAGATAAACATTGCTAGATGTCTATGAACAGGCAACTGAATCCAGCCCTCACTGACAACAACTGGAGCTTGGATACCTAGTTCCTATGTATATACCAGCTTGTCTAGATAAATGCAGGTGTCTTGACTTCCAGGTGAATCCCACCCTTGCTGTCAACAGTTGCCAACTACATTACCATTTTTACACATGGCTTGAGGTGGTACTTGTGCTCAAACTCTTTGACTGTACTCTACATTGGCTTACACATCAGTCTTCACCCTGGAGTGCCCAGACTAGCTCTGAAGGGGAGAAATTCAGGCATGCTTGGCTCACTTTACAAAAATTAAATTCTGCCCTTGAAGATCCTTGGACCACGCTCTAGAAACTCAAGTTGAGCTTAGGCATAGCAACCAAAGGAAGCATGGACATAACAACTGTAAGTCTCTACAGCATGCCAAATGTTAAGGTAAATCTGTTTACACCAAACTTTAAAGCTTTAATAGCTTTGTCCTTCACAAAAGTTATAACTCCATACAACATCACAGACACACCTGATCTAAATGCCAAAGCCCAGCACTTTCATGTCCCTTCCAGCTTCTGGGCCTCAGCACCCTGTCCCTAAAGTCAGTCATAGCAGATTCCATGAAGTATCTTTTACTGCACATCAGTGACATAGCACAAGCAAGGAAATATATTCTAACATAACAAAGAATAGAAATGCTGCAAAACCCATATTTTAGTGTTGCCACTAGGTTAACTCAAATGGAATTTCTTTGCATCAATTTTCATATTTGCTCTGGGGTCTGAAGATTTCAATATGCACTACTCACTCCTAACCTCACCAAGAAAAATACCACAGTAAATTCCTGCTTCTCCCTCAGTGCAATAGATTAAAGCATTTTACCTTTGACAATGTGTTCCAGAGATCATTTCTGGCTGCATTGCCATACTTGTGAATGGTTAAATAGTCCTACGGAAATAAAATAAAAATACAAATCAGTATTAATATATAAAAGCCAAATAATTAGTGCTGTAAATCACTGCTATTAGAATTTAAATCACATGAATGTTTGCATTTGTCAGAAATCTAGAAATATACAATATGTTCATCCTAAGGGAGTAAACAGTTTCTTACGCTAGTTTACAATGCAAAAAAATTGTTACTAAAAATTTAATTTACAGCATTCAATACTCTTCCTTCTTCTGTGTAAGTCATTCTGTGAGCTAAATATTTTGAAACATTTAGAATACGTGTCTAATCTCAGAAGGGGTTCCTAGGTAATTCTTAGCAATGAAAGGAGAAGCTGCTGAAACCCAGTTCCAGTTGCTATTTTAGGAGGTCATTCTGTATCTAGTGTCAAAATCTGCTCACTCGGATGACAGCTAGATTTGTTACAAAAGATTTAACTGAGCAATAGCCTACATGAACTACAAACTCTTATCTAGGGAGATCCTGGTGCTTCACTATCAGAATATATCATGCTGGCAGCAGTGGTTGTAACAGGTTATCACAGAGGCTCTCAACAACAGGGAGTGGTGCAAGAGAGGTGACAGGAACCCAACTCCATGTTTGTGCACAGGTACCTACACGTGTGTTTTCACAACATATGTGACTCAGAGTCTGAGGAGATTATAAACTGAATGCTTTCACTTACTCAGCCACAGTTTCAACAACTGAGGGTACATTCTTCTCCCACAGCAACCAGAAAGATAATTCCTGTTAAGTCCCTATCATATTAAATTAACTTCCTGAATTAATAGTTTAAGCACATGTCCAGGTTGGGTCAGGGCCTTTCATGTACAAAATACTTCCAATTTTTAACATCTGGAGAGACAACGCTGGTAGTTTCCCGGTATGTTATGTCCCTAGACAACAGCTCATTCAGTTACAGAAGCAAAATTCAGCAATGATGATTTGAATAACACATCAGAGGTTGTAAATCAATGGGTTCTCCTGCATTTCAATTCCTACCACCTTTATTTTACACAATGGTAGGAGACAAACCCTAATTTACAGCACAATGATAAAACTGGGGCAAATTTGCTGACTCTGTTATCTGTGCTTTGTGTGAAATGAGATACTTTGGGAATAATTAGTATTTGGAAAGCAAATTTTCTGATACACAAATTGTAGCACCTGTGACAGATTTAGCTTTTGTCAGCCACTCAGTTCAACAAGCAGCAACTCCCATTTAATCACATGCTAGGGAGGCTAAATGGGAACGCTGACTGTAAATGCAGTGCTGAGTCTTAACAATGTCATGAGACTAACTTGGAAAAAAAGACAATATTATATGGGCTGCACCTATAGTACACTCTGCTTCCATTTTGTCTCAAAATACAGAATCATGTACAGCACAGTGAAAGATTCAATGGCTTTCAAAGTTAAAGAAGTTGAATTGCAAATTGAAAAGCTGAAATAGCAATGAACAAAAGTGGGACAAAGTAAATAAATAACAACAAATACACATGTGCATTCCAAGTGGTACTAGAAAATGCTACATGTATTTGGCCTTTTGAGGGTTGCTTTCACAATTGTTACACAGCAAAATAAAATGGATGGAACACTTGAGGATTTACTCCATCCACGCAATAAACCAGTTTACCAATCTACCATTTGACATTAAATTTGACTTTCAATTTGCATTCAAAAAGACTACAAAGAGATTAAATGTTTCCGCCCTTTTGTTTTTTTTTCTCCCAATACACAGATTAGGAGGTTTAGATGTGGCTCATCAGTCAGTTAAAGATTTATTATCCTCCAATCTAACATATTCATCACACAAAGGAAAAAGAAAGGAATCCTAACATTTACAATGAAACAAGAAAATACAATTACAAATATGACATACAAGTATAGTCCTGATACCATACAACTTGATCATCCATTTTTTCATTGCTTCATGAAAGCTGCATCGAGCCATATACTTAGCTTCAAACTAGGAGGGTTACTGAATGCATACGACACAAATAACAGTCCTAAGTAAAAGTGTGCACCAAACTATGCTTCCAGCAGTAAATATACATTGTGACCCAAATTTTTTTGGATTTTGAGTGCACTTGCTACAGACACAAGAACGAAAGGTTATTGAACCAGGTGCCACCAAACCTCCTTATATGTCAGTACCCTCTTTTCAATAATAACCAGTAGCAGCCACCTAGGAAGGGTATAAAAGCAGGACAAGCATATAGTGATACTTCCCCAATATGCTTTCCCATCATCTAATACTTCATGGCACAAGGAATCCTGAGCAGATCAGCATCTTTGTATTTAATACTTATCTTCTGTGAATTTGGTCAGTTGCTTTCTGAATCCATATAAATGTATAGCATTTGCCCCACCTTATAAAAAAAACATTGCCCACTTCAGTGATCTGTTGTGTGAAGATACCTGTTTCAAACACCTACCTGTCTGCTGGTTTCATCTGTTGCTCCCTAGTCCTGGGACTAGAAAACACAGTGCATTACTGTTCCCTACTTCACTCTTCCCAAGTCAGTCATGCTTTTACAGATCTGTAATGCATGTGTCCTCATAGTAGAGCTCGGTTTTATAATGAGAACACCACCAGACCAAACCACTCCCAGCTATGCTGCAAAGTTAAATTTTACTACCACCATCCAGGCTGTTGACTTCAAAGCCAGCTACAGTCACTATTACCCAACCTGAACTTTCATTACCAAATTATCAGTCTCTCTTGAAGTACCTTTCAGACACTGAAAAGAAAAGGCTTATGCATATCAGCATCAAATACACCCCAGGAAGTATTAAAATAGGAGCCAAAGATCTATACATACCCTGCTTGTCTGTTCTAAGGATGGAAAAATAACCAAAGCAAATAGAAGAGAGATGCAAGCCACAGGACAGAAATGGAGAATGGCACTGAAAATACAGCTGTCTGAATCTAAGCTGTGCTCAGCACAGCTCCAAAGGAGGTAAAGTGACTTACAGCCACTTTCTTACAGAAACATATGCCCAGAAACATCTGGCTGCAAGGCTGCTTCCCATCATAAACTCACAAGTCAATCACCTCCAAAAGCTGCTCCATCAAGTGGAGTATGCTGGAGCATGAAGATTTGCTTCAGTCACCTTCCTAACTTTCAGTTATAATCCTACGGTGTGTGTGAGGAGGAAAGATGGCATGAAAACCTCTAAAAACCCAAGACTCATGAGGACTCTTCTACAACTCCCCCTTTCTCCTCCACTGTAATGCCACTTCTAAATGTTTTCTCTGTCATGGGGAAAGTAGAAACAGTTCACAGACCTTAGAGCAGTGTCACTCAACACGAAAACTAATCAAATATACACACAAACATGATAATCTGGTTTTACATTTTCAGCAGGCATCCTCTTGTAATAATCTTCTTAACATCCTGGCACTAAAACACGAAGTTTTTCCTTTACCAAAAAGAAACGGAATATGATTGCTTCACCACTATAAATAAAAGAAAATTTAATCAAAGTGGGTTTTTTGACAAGTGATTTAGTAATTTTTAACCTAAAATGAAATTTTAAAAAATCCAGACTCTGTCATGCCATGAAAACAAAGCCCAGTTACTGCACAACCAAAACTTAAGATGTTGCAAAAAATCCCAACATATTTAGATTACAGTGTTTTGTCAAATAGTAATCTTAATCCTCAAAAAAACCTTTAAAATTTTGATGCTTTTGAAATTATTTTGTTACTTGAATACTGAAGCAGATAGCTTGAACAATAAAAGAAATAGAAGTACAGTGAAAAGTGCTAAAGGATTTTGAAAGATGTTTTTATTAATTCTGTATTGATTAAGTTTGCAGGCCTTTTATTCTAGCAGACTTTTTTTAAGTAAAGGACATTACTGAAAAGGAAAAAGTCTTTTATGCCCTTTAACAATCTTGGTTCTCTCAGTACTGCTAGGGATTGAGCCACTTGGTTTCAAAAAATGAACTACCCCACCATCCAAACATGATAATGCTCACAACTAATAAAAGGTAGAGACTGATAAATGCAAAGAGGTTAAACAAGTGTAAAGGGGGATTAAGTCTCTGAACATATATCTTACTTTCAGGGAGACTTCAGATATATAACCAGGAACTGAAACATCAGTTCTAATATCAAACTTCTTTCTGAGTTTATCTGTATGAAGTTGATTGGTTGGCTGAAGGAACAGCTCTCAATATGTGTGAGTGGTGCTGATATCTGAAACAGACTTGACACTGAAAACACACTTTTCCTCCTAAAGATAACTGGGAAAATCCAATATATAAGATGAGCAAAGAAAAAGTAGTAAAATATTTGAGCATTAAATTCCTGTGGCTACATTCTTCTGAATACCCTCACTTCTATGAGCTCAGGAAACAGTCTTGGCTCTCCACCTCTCTCTTCGTATTTCATTCCTACTCCTGGGTGCACATTCTCCTCCCTTCAGCCTACAAGATGTTCATGTTGAATATTTTTACACATGACTGCTTTATCTCACCAGAGATTTAGAGTTACTAATAAAAACATCTAGTTCAGGTGGAAATCAGGTTCTAAGGCTCCTGTCATCAAATCCAGCATGTTTGTTTTCCCAGAAATGTGTATTCTTAACCTCAAGCCACCAGACACCATCTTACAGATACTGAGTCACCGACTGTAACATGTTAATTTTTTTCCCTTTCCTTCACACTGCTAACGTCAAAGCTCCTATCACATATTATCTTGACACTGCCTAACATTAATATAAAAAAAACACTTGGGCATGGGTCAGAGGGAGGAAGGTACTGCATATGTTTGCAATGCTGAGTGGCACCAAATAGAAAAGCTAAAATAGCCAACTAGGTTTGCAGTATTTTTCAGCTGTACAACCCCTGAGAAAGAGCCTTATGGAAGAGATCACCCTCCTCGATGGGCAGTCAGGCAAGCAGTAGAGTACAAAATAAGGAGTAGGCAAATTCACCTTATTGGTCATTGTAAAAAGCAAATTAGATGCAGGTTAACTCTATTTGTGTCA